TAAAAATTTCTAGATCCCGCCAATAGAAGTCAAATCTTTAATTCGCTTCAGCTTACACCAGTTGTGAGTTTAGTTTTTGTTGAGTTTTTAAAACAGTTTAGTGTCTAATTTAATTAAATGAGTTTTAAAACCATTTAGTTTTAATTTCCGACATAGATATAAATGATATCAGCTTATTCTCTTGTATATTTTCTATAGAAATTATTTGTAGAATATTAACTGTCATTTAATAAAGTTTTAAACAAACCTTCCTATGCAACCTTCCTCTGAACACTTCCTTCCTTCAGATCAATCACTCACTCAAATGGCTTTGATTTTATCCAACTTTGGACAGGAATCTGGCAGCTTCCACTAATAAAGTTGGTCTTTATGGAAAAAATAAAACAATCTGTATAGTTTAAAGCTGTTTCTTCTTCAATCAATCAAGCTGAAGAGCAACAGTTTCCCTCGAAGCTATAAAATTTATTTATAGTATATCCGCACATTCCTAATCATAATCAACATTTCCAGCTTTAATAACAAAATTATGATCACGGCACAAAATCATTTTCATCTGCCGTCTAATGGATTTTTTCGGAGGGCAGCCAGGGGAATTCCCCTGATATACCGATAGCCCTGTATCCTGGCATTCTGGTATCCTGGTTTTCTGGCATCCTGATGTAGAGTTAAGGCAAGCCGCAGATGCCACCGCCGCATGTGTGAGCCAAGACTCAGGGATGTGTATGCTGCCACTTTGAGTTAATTCCCCTTGCTTGGTCGTAAACTTTACGCATTCACTGTAATCAAATTTTATGAAATGCTCAGCGACTGAGCCCCCAGTTTTCTTCATCTTTTGTTCGAAGGGTTGTGTGTAATGTGAGGGAGTGTGCACTTTAATGTCTTTACTGTGGTTTTTGCCGGCTGGTTTTTGGGGGCTGTGTTGCGGCCTGTGAATGAATGAAAATTTTGCGGCATAGATAATTAAATAATAAATTGTTGTAATGTCTACATTTGTGGCCGTCTCTCGATTCCCTCGTCCTTGCCATGTCTCGATCCTGTTGCATTTGGCTGAAAGGCCATAAATGATTTATATGCACATTGAATGCGTCGACAATAGATTTAATTTAACGATGTCTTGGCGACGATGACGATGACGATGACTGTGGCGATGATGATGGCGTTGCCGCCATTTTGGCTTTCCCGATTTTCCGAGGTAATTACGCGTAAATGGGTAACAGAGACTGAGCCAGAGACTCAGACAGAGAGAGAGAAGGAAGCAACATCAATATTCTTCCTTCATTCGCATATTAAATCTATGTCATTTTATATAAATTAATTTTGCCAATGACATTCAATGTCTGCTCGGGTGAAAATGGATTATGAACAGGATATGGGGGAATGTGTGTGTCCTTTGATGTGTGCCAGCCCAGTGTGGGCGTGCTATTTGTGGAAATATTAATGCGATATCGAAAAGCAAACCAAAGACACATTAATGGAAAATTGGCAAGGGAGTTTTGCTTTTTAAGGGACTTATACTGTTATGGTTATAATTAAATAATATTTTAAATATTTATGGGTTTTCCCTCTTAAAGTATTTTAGTTCCTCTTCCATCCAACCTTGAAGCAAGTGCCTTTATTTATTCATGGAACTGCAATTACCGACTGCTATTTGATTGAATTTAAATTCCTGTGCTTGCCTTGAATGGTCCTTATCTCAGAGTCAGTCTACTGTCAACTGGGTACCTCCGCTGTGTCCCCCGGGACCTCCTTTTAACCCCTCATTTTCCATGGCCTCCTGTTCTCGCTCCCGAGGCGAGTCATAAATTATCCTTAGATCACGCGCCAACAAAAGCGTTCCTTGCACTATTTTTTTCAATAGGTTCTATAGTCTTTCCTCCTCCCTTACTTTTTTTTTTTTGTTTTTTTGTTGAACCTTAGGCAGTGACCTATACTATACAGTGCATTCCATCGGGGGAACTAGTCGTTGAGATTCCTCCTACAGTGCATCATCCCATTTTATTTTTTATTATTTTTTTTTTAACTAGCTTGAATTCCTGGCAGTCACATGCCAACGAAAAAGAGGCGCAGCGCCAGGATGATGGAAACAGCTGACATTTCACTTTCTTGATGCGATTACGCAGCGAGGAACACCCCACACTGCCCCCCGCCCACTCGCACTTTTCGCGCCCATCCGCCCGCCCACTCGGCAAATTGCTTACGGTCACGTAGCAGCGGTCTTGCCTCTCGCTTCCACCGCCCCCCAGCCACAGGACCATGCTTTCTGGTTGCCTCCTTTTTGCTGCTGGGCTGCGCGACAAGAATTTTTGCCAAAGGCTGCCAAGAAAGTGAAGACTGTGAGAAAACTTATTAAATTATATACTAGTCTTAAAAATACACAAAAAAAAGAATAGAATAAGAAAACAGAAACCTTTTCCAACACTAAAACAGTGCTTGATCAGGATCACCTCCTCTCACCATATCTTCCAATGGAACTGAAACAATATGCCGTTTGGTATTTTTGAATATTACGTATACGTCAGTTCCTTATTTATTCTTTTAAATTAAATATTAATTAAAATTTAAATCCTCTCTCAGTGTAAGCCAGTAAAATATGAAAACGAAGAACTGCCAGAGGGAGAGATCCTGTGGGCTGGGTTAGTGGGTAACAAAAGGAAAATGGTGCCAAACTTAATGAAAATACCAACGCGTCGTCATTTTGGCCGCAGAGAGGCTGTATCCGTTTCCCCTCTAGCCATCCCTCCTCCCAATCCTGTTTGTTTTTTTGCTGGCAGGACCAACCCCACTTACCCCCGACGCCATCCATCTTGCATACCATTGCCCATTCCGCCAATATGTTATTTTTCATGCGTTTAGGCGAAAGTGTTTTAGGCCACTGTGCGTGAGAATCCTGTCTTTTGGGCCATGTCTTGCCTTTTTAACCATATATTGGTATTTTCTTCTGGCCATCTTGCTTCATTTTTCTTCAAACAGTAAGGATTCTTTTTAATATTTGTTCAGTAGTTAAAAAATATACTTTTTGTTAGCCTGTTTTTTGTGGTATCTAAGACTTTCCTTTTAAGAAGTTCTAGTAATACCTAGCTTTTAAGTCCTGAATCCTATATCTTTTTGTACGTGTTCCCACTGTATTGACATTTTTTGATTTCTTGCCCCAAATTTGGTCGTATTTTTTGTTTCTGTGACGCCACTGCTCGGCTCGGCACATTTGCATATCTCGATAGTGTCATTAAATTTGCATATTTAAGATAAATTTAAATTCCTTGCATGTTTTGCTGTATTTCCTTTCGCTTTCTTTTTTTTTTTATTTTGTATATGTTTGCTGTTTTGGCTTCTATCTTGCGTTCCAATTTCATTTCATGTATTGTCCTTTCTCATTCTTCAAATTTCGCTCATGGTATTGCAAATTTATTGTTTGTAGGCTTTAAGGGGGCGGGGCACGATTGGCGGCAGGACATTGTTTACAGACTGTCTTCATATATGTGCAAGTGTGGGCGATGGGCGTGGCCCCGCTTTACAATGCGTGGGAGTTACTCTCATCTCCCCATACACACATACATATATATATTTTTTTCCTCATTCGTCGTTGTCGTCATCATGCATCATTTGTTTAGTCCTTTAGTCCTTTGTTATGTGCCAAAAGCCGGGGAGCGAGGAAGACTAAATGGATGGCGGAACGTGTGTGTGTGTGTGAGTGGGCGGTGGGGTGGTGGGATGGCTTTGGGGTGGGTGTCACACTTTTATGCGACGCACTTGTTGAGAATATTAATTTTATTTAAATATTTCAAAATAACACAAAGTTGCTGACTCCAACGTTTTTCCCTTCAGTTTTCGGTTTTATTTCATTTCTTTTATTTTGCAACATTTGCGTAATGAACTAAGCTAATGGGATTAAGTCTGAAAAGCCCTCAGAGATGTATCAAGGACCTCCATAGAATTTCAAAAAGAAAGCTTCAAAAAGGATGTTATTTTGAAACTAAACACAATCAAGTTTCTTGATTTAACCTATTACTAAAGAGTTTTAGATTAAAATAATTAACAAAATATTTTAGTTTACAAAAGCATTAAATTATTAAAAATAAATTATATGCATTTATTTAAAATTTATTTCTTAAGAAGTTCTCTTAATATCTATTTGACGCCCATTCTCACCAATTTCTCACAAAATAAATGTACAATTCTACAGAATTGTATATTTAGTTTATTTTATCAATCAGTGAGATGCTGGTGCTGATTTGCTTTTTCCATTTAGTTAATTATTTAAATTTCTATTTAATTCCACACCAACAACAAACATAAGAGACTTTCAAAGAGCGGGTGTCGAAAATGAAAAGAGAACCTAACAGAACTAACAGAGCTGTAAACTTACTGTGCTGGCATTTATACAACAGCATAGCTATTTTGCTAAATTAAAAGCTATAAAATAACTAAATTTTAATTTTTTTATGAACAAATGTATATTAATTTACAAATTTTATATTATATCTAAAAAAAATTGTAACCAAGATAAGCTTTAAACATGATTAAATTACCACCATAAAGTTAGCTTATATTTAAACAAATAAAATGCTACTAGGCAAATATATGTTAATAATTCTGTAATTAAATTTTATGAATATTTTGTATTAAAAATAAATACTAAAAGCCTAATTTTAAATATTTTAACAAACATAAAATTAACATTTTTTAACGCTAACACTAACAGTTATTTAACATTACTTCCACTGAGCAAGATAACAGAGCGCATTTAACAGAGGACTCTCATTGAGAGAACAATCGCCGTGTTTTGCGCTTTCTTCGTATTTCGGCTGCGCAAACTTATTTTTTGTCGTTGTAATATTTACCATAAATAATAATTAAGGCGCGTGACGGTGGCCCCCAACAATAAATATACGAAATCCCAACGATACGGCATCAAAATCATACAAAATCCACATAACTATTTAAGTGCAAAGGGCGAGTCTTCCTAAGCTTGTGTGTTTTGTGTGGCGTGTTGTGAGACTCTGTGTGTGTGTGTGTGCTTGTAAAAAAAACAGAACGTGCAACAAGAAGCAAGAAGAAGAAGAAACGTAATCAGCAGCTGACAAGACAACGCAAAATTTTTTCAATAAGTAAGAATAAAAGCAAAGAAACAACCTTTGGAAGCCCCGCAAAAATGTCGTAACCATTGCAAAATCCCCAACAATAACAAACTACAACAAACCTAAAATAGGAGCAAAATTTTGCAGCTCTCAGCTAATTGAAAACGAATTTTTTACCATGTCATTGCACTCGATTCAAAATAAAATGAAACCAAAGTGGGGATAGTAGAGGTGCTATAACGAAATTGCATAAAAATACATGAATAAGAACAAGACAAGAGTGAGAGCGGCGGCGGCACAAATAAAAACAAAATAAAAATGATAGCAGGAGGGAGGGAGGCTCTATCTGGCATTCAAATTAATCGAGAGCATAGTGCTCACCTGTGCCGAGCTGTTACGCTACCCTGCTATCCACTAGTGATTAGTGTAATTATTTAAATCTTATCATAGTGCCAATATTTATTCCATTTTGCTTTTTTTTTGTTTGGTTTGCTTTGCTCACTTGTTGTCTTCCCTTTTAGTTTGCCGGGCGGTTCTCTGTTAGTCTCTCTCTCTCTCTCTGTTTGGGTCTCTGTTACATCTGGTAACATTCTGCAGTTGATAAAAGGAAAAAAACAACAACAAGAAGGAAAAGCTTTTTTTGGATGCATTCGAAGTTATAATACCCTTTTTTCTTAAATTTTTATGGGTTCTATTTTGTCTTAATTATATTTAAATTATCTATACAAATTTAAGCACAAGACCTATTGTAAGTTTTGCCTATTTTACATGGGAAGAGTTAAGAAAAAACAGTGTGGCCCTATTCTCTATATTTTTATACCGGAATTCAGTGTTGAGCAATGGTAGTTTTTTTAAGAATAAAGGCATATTCCAACAATTCTAAAGCTTCCGACTAAAATGCATAGAAAAAGACCGAATAAATTGTATCTACTTTTCATCCTGATCAAGAATATATATACTTTATAGGATAGGCATTACAAACATCTGAACAAAATGAACATACCTCAAATGGGTATAACTAAAAACATTCTTGTTATTGAATATTTTGCCCCGGCATATCAATAAATTATTGTATGCATTTTCTGTGTTTGTTTTTGCACTGTCTGGCCCCGTAAAAATACCAAACAACAACAACGAAAATTCGCTGTGCTATTTTTAGGCCAATGCAAAATGTTGCAACTGCCCGCGGGACTCTTTCGCGTGCCAGAAAGAGAAGGTAGAGGTGCTAAAATAACTTTTTGAACGCACTGTTGCAAAAGAAAAAAACATTAAATTATTTTATAGAGCCACAAAAAAAAATACAAGTCCACAAAGTTGCAAGAAATACACATATCACTAATAAGAAACAAAACAAAGGTTTTTTGAAAAGGCATATCAAGTGTAAGAGAGAGATAGCCAGTAAGCGGTAAACTTACAAGGCAGTGTGACCTGCTTCACATAATTTTATAAAATATCTCATGTCAAAAAAAAGTGTTAAAATTAATATTCAAAAATAGTGTGCACAGTCACACTTTTAAAATAATTGTTTATTTTATTCCTTAATACCTACTTTCTTATCATTTGACAGTTGCAAGGGAACTTATAGTGATATTTACTCAAAATTAGCCCGAGTAAGATAAAAATGCATCCACGCTACAGCCCAGCACCGCCCCCTCAACAGCACCAACAGGGCGGCCCACATCCCCACCAGAGTGGCGGAGGAGGAGGTGGCATGCGAGGATCGGGAAACATGCAGCAACTGCCACCGCAGATTCCACGATCCCAAAACTATTCAAACGTGAGTCTAAAATTATAAAAATATCTATATTTATAAAAGATACTTTTGGACTGTAATATATATTCTTTTTGGATGTACTTTAAGAATAATAATATTTGCACAAACACACTCCCCAAATACTGACACACAACCCTTCACCAAATATCTAAGCAATCAACTATCAACAAAGGCATCAATCAATCAATCACTCCCTGCATCAATCAGGCAATAGAACAACTCACTCACTCTCACGCACTCACTCAATCGTTCATTCAAATGGGGCACAGGCTGATGATTTCTGATGCTCCCCATGTATCCCAACAGAGCGTAGGACATAGGAGGCGCCACTTTTGGCCTGCGGTGATAGGGGGCGCCACTACTGCAATCGACATGTGTCATACGCAGTCTTTCGGATCGTTATCGAGGTAGTTTAGTTAGTGGCAGGAGGAAAAAGAGGGTGGGATAGAAGGCATTTGAGTGGAAAATTGCTCCCGCTGATGCGTCTGGCATTGCCTGGCAATGATATGGATTTCTTCTAACCATTTTCGCCATCAATTTGCTGACAGTTGCAGTGGGCGCCTCTAATCCCGATGAGAGTAGTCGTTTTCCTGCTCCCCGCTATTATATATAGTATAGAGATATATCTGATAAATCATTATTCACACACAGGAGAAAGGAACATTTTAGTAGAATTTCCTAATTTTTTGGGAGATTTGGGATGCATTGTGAAATTTTCATCATAATTTATGCATTTGCTTTCTAAACACCATACAAAATGGGAGAAAAAATAAAAAATATAAAAAAATTCCAAATGGAAATCACACAAAGGCAACATTTGTAAGTAGTCTTCCCCCCTTGATGAAATCTGGTTTACCTGCGTATATGCGGGTACACAGGAAGTAATATATATTAAATGAATATTACTTATAATATCTACTTTTATAGACTCATAAGACTTATAATTAGTTTATATAATTATGTTAAAGGACTTCATATATTATTATATTAATTTTAAGTATTTTTTATTAACTGTGTAACCTCTATATATATATATTCCATATAATAAACTATTCAAAGCTGTTTGCGGCACAATACTCAGTGGGGGGAGGTGCAAACGAATCTGGGGGCTTGATGTTGCTCGTTTGCTGCGTTTTTAGGGGGAGGCCCTGACCACCTCAGCCCCTCCAGGTGTGCCGGCTTTGTAGGCAGGATCTATTTGGCATCCTCTAATGGCCAACAGGCGTTGCTTTGGCGTTGGCTCTCTACGGTAGCGTTCTTTCATTTAAACAGCTTTCAACTTGCGCCAGACCACATCAAAATAAAAATTCCTTCCAAAAAAAAAAATATAGTAGAAATGGGTGGTGGAAAATGTAAGGAAAAAACGGACAAAAATTGTAAACAGTCGCGCTTAGTCAGCAGCACCGCAGTCGACGTCAGTTATTGTGCCTGGAATGAAAATTATATTTCGTATTTTGTGCCCTACTCTGAAAAAAAAACTGAAAGGAAAGTAAATAAATAAAAGCGGAAGCTGGCAAGTTGCTGAAGTTTATGGAGTTACGAGAAGATATATTTAAAATTACTTTGGACCACACTTTTTGATGGTTTTATTTTGCAGACAAATGGCCGGAATTTCGGTTTATAAAAATATAAAGTTTAAGAGGAGTTTTGAATAAAGTTTTGAAAAAGTTTTTATAGTTCTGAGCTTTAAATTATTTTCTAAAAAATATATTTATTTTTCTGCGAAAGAGAGGCTTATAAATTGGAGACTTTCTGGATCAGTCACGTCGTAATTTTGTGATTAAATTCAATGTTGACAATTGCTAAAAAGGACACCAGAAAGTTGTTAAGGTAATTGCGGCCACATAGGCTGAGATGCATTTCAATTGAAGCTGAAAGCTGGGAAGCAGGCAGACGGTAGGGGATTTCTACAAGGATAAAAAAAAAATACAAGGATGTGTAGGATGCAGCGCTGAATGCCGCCCGATACGCCTTCAAGTCCTGCGCCTGCGTCGGCTTGTGGATCCTGTTGCTGGACAAAGTTTTGTGTTTTGCCGGCTCCGTACTGCAATCGCATCGTTCTCGGCATCGCCCACGAAGTTCCAAAACGATTCCCTACGAACCGTATCCGAATCCGAGGCCTGGCTGGCTGGCCAAACGTGAAAACCTTACTCAATGAGAAATTCAGAATCCATTCGACGATTGTCAAGTTCAGTTACAAACGCCTTTTCCTCATTTTGCGCACCACAAAAGCGGAAAGCGACCAGACCAGACCAGACCAGAGCCCCCAGCACCAGCACCACAAGCCAGCGAAAGAGAGAGAGCCGAGCCGGAGACAAGCCAAGTCTGAAGCCAAATCCAAATAAATCCAAATCTAAACCGATCTAAATTAATTAAAACCAAAGCAAGAGCACCACGGTCCTTCAAGTCCTAAACCAAGCCAAGCGAGGAGTTCCGACAAGCGAGGAGTCCTGCCTGCCACATCCATAACCACAGTGCTAGCTGGCCAGTTTGTGTTTTTTACGAAAAAGATAATACCAAAAAATATATATTTCCATTTTCCGTGCGTATACGTAATCTGAGTCGAAGTCAGTTCATTCTGTCCATGATTTACAACAAATAACATATATATATTATACAATATATATATATATAGCCACTGAGAGAATTGCGGAGTGCATGTGCAGGTGAAGTTCAGTATTATTTACAACGTGTGAAGGTCAAGATATTTTACAAAAAAAAAATATAAATAAAAATCTGCTCAAGAACCCACTACTCAAAGTAGTAGCCTCCCAGCGCAACAATTGTCAGCAAAGAATTCCTACGGATCTAAGAAACACTATAGTAGAGTTAAAAACTCTCTTAAAAATAAAAGCATAAAGTTTACATTAAATCAAATTAAGGAAAAAACTCGAAAGTGACTAAACACCAAAGCAAAAAAAAAATCTACAGTATTATTTTAATAAAAAGTATATGAGAAGCGATAAATAGGGACAATAAAGTTAAAATAAATTCAAAAACCAAATTAAATTTGTGACTTTAGCTTAAAAACTAGCTTAATTGTGAGTGACACCTTAAAAAAAGATTTAGCAAATTGTCGTAAGAAAATAAAGTTAGTTGAAAAAGCTTAGCTTGAAAAACAAAAACCCCAAAACCCAAATAAAAATATTGTGTCTATTGATGTGTGTGCTTAAATAACTGCAATAAAATAAAATATATTAAAGTAAATTATTTAAATTTCAACTCTAATAAGTGTTCAGTGTGTTAGCAAAAAAAAAAAACAAGATAACTAACTAGTCAATGTTCTAAACAAAAAAACCAAAAAAAAAAATCAATAAGAAAATTAGCAACCCAGACAAGGCTCAGACAGGCAACAAAAGCAAACAAAAGTCAGAAGGAAACGCCCACGCAAGGAGGAAAATAACCCCTGGAAATCAATTTACAATCAACCTGCTCATCAATAGCCATTAAAATTGCGTCAATCAAGAGAAAAACCTCGCCATTGCCCGCAGCAACATCGACGCTAGCTAATTTCAGTCAGGCCCAGGACACCCAGCGATATTGCGACCAGAACCAGGACCAGGAGCAGTCAAGCGCATTTGAGGCAACAGCTGTAAGCCAATTGGGGGCAACAGATTCGCAAATATCGGCAACAGCAGCACCAGCGGCGGCAATAGCAACAGCATACCAACCAGGAGCAACACTAGTCGCTACCAATTCTCAGGCTAAACTCCCGGCCTCGGTTAGCAGCTCCTTGAGTCAGGCAATACCCAGTCAGCTAGCACCACCACCACCGCCGCCGCCGTCGACGCCACCACCACCAGGACAGGAAACCACAGCAAGTGTTGCCGAGACGACAGCCAGCAACAAGGGCAAGGCCAGCCAAACCGCAAACAGCAACATAAACACCAGCAACATCAGTTGTAACAACAGCAGCAGCGGCAGTAGCAGCAGCAACATCAGCAATACCAATACCAACACCACCAACAGCAACACCACCAGCACCACCACGACGCTGTACACGTGCTCCAGCGCCTCCTCGTCGCTGATTGCCCAGCCGCCGCCAACGAAGATATTTAAGACGGATCACCATCTGTGCGCCGCCTACGGACTGCCGACCGCCACCGCCGCCGCTGCTGTTGGTGGGCATCCCTGCGTCTACTGTGTGATACCTGTGCCCGTGGTGAGTACTTAGTCCTTGGGGAGTACTTAGTCCTGCCACTCGAAAAATTACTTTGAAAAATCTAAAAATATCCAGAGAACTAAAGTTAATCCTAAATAAGAATAGAACTTGAAAGTCTTAGATATATTTTTATATTTTAAATATAATTATTAAGGATATAATATTTTAGATAAATATTTTAGCCAATATTCTAAGAAATTCGTCAAGTGTTACATTTGCATGGACTTCTTTTGATTTTTTACAGTCATTAAATATTGAAATAATTACAGAGGGTGTGGGGAGGACTCGGCCTACAGCTGGTATCTTTCTCTGGGCCGCCGTCAATTTGCTTATCCTGGCTGGATGATTATCCTGTTCCTGGCTGCCCGGGCGGCTTCTCATTATCATTTATTATCCGCTGTTGACGCTTTGGATTCCTTTTTTACTTGGAAATATTTATATTTCTTATATTTTGTAAGCCTGCCGAGGGAGCTTTTTCACGTGGCTTTGTTTGGGTAATCTGGAGGACGAAAAGGACGAAAAAAAAAAAAAAACAAGAAATGAAATGAATTGTTCAGGTTGAAGAAGTTTGAAAGGCGAATTTGTCTCCGCTTTTAAATTGTGAACTCGAGTGAAATGAGTTTCCACGGGGGCTTAGCCTTTTTGGGGATTTTAATATGCGGAATTTTAATTTTTAATTTAAAAGTAAGATTTTTTCTAAAAGCTATAAATTTTTAAGCTACTTTGGAGTAACTAAACCGAGCCTTTATAAGTCACTATGAGTTTCAATCTTGAACTAAATAACAGATATATGGAGGGGTGGATACCCACCCTAGAATCCCCAGCAATGTCGTTACCATTA